CAGGAATGTCTTGAAGGCTCTCTGCTCCTTTGTCATCTTTTGCTTGGTGTAAGGAGGTCTGTATGCTCCAGCATCCATGGCACCACATGCAGTTGAACTTTTGCTTTCCAGTGGTGAAAGATGTAACATTGTTACTGAGGTATTAAACTTGCTTAAAAATAAAAATCTAAGGGGATATTTCCTCACAATTGGTGGCATTCTCTACCAATGGCTCCACCAGTTCCACATATTTTTCTCTTCTCCCATTCAATAATATTGATGTTCTTACCCTTTTCTAAACATGACCTTATACCAGGCACTGCATGTGAGTTTTCCACAGAGGGCTTCTGCTCTTCACTGCAAGGCAGGACTAGATGGAGTGGTGCTCCCAGCCCTGGTGGCTCTGCACAGCTCACCCAGACTGGCAAGTCTGCAGTCAGCTGGACCCGCTCCAGCAGAGCTGTGCTGTTCCATTTGTGTAATTAATACAGCTCCTACAAAGATGACTGTGTAGCTGAATGTTAGACCCTTAATGGCTCCAGGGAGCTCTCACTGCTCAGCTTTATAAGCAAGTCTTTAGATTCCAAAATAAATGCATGGAGAAGCCGTTTTTGTCACTGCAGGGTGACCTTCTAATAACAGACCCTTCTCTGCCACACTTGTGATCTCACTTTCTGTCCAATGTTCATATTTCAGTCTAACCCTATAAGCTGGGAAGTGAAAAGCGTTTTGGCACAGACACGTTTCATGCAGTGTCATCTTTCAGCAGCCTCTGCTGCTGCAAATAGCAGTGATTGATTTTTGTGTCTTCAGCTGCCTGTTATCAAAATCTTAAAGACATAATGGTGTGATTCTTGTGTTGAATTAATAGCAGATCTTCCTTGGAAAGATGACACTGCTGTTGGATAGACAAAAAGAAACCCAGTCGTGCTGGGATGATAATTGATTTGGTGTAATGTCTTTCTTTCTCCATAAGCACCCCTACTGAGATGGTAGCAGCAGCTAAAATTTCAGACATCTTACATCTATACCAGGGTATTTTTCATTTTATATTTTCTTCTTTTCTTCTCATTCTTTCTTTGTCAGTTAGCAATCTCTGTTTTAACTGGCTTAAACAACCAGCGCTAAACAAAGATGCAGGGTTACGTGTTGATGTGTAGAAATGACCTAAAATGGGTGACTAAATGTTGCATGCACTTGAAAGGCCTGAGGTGGCTGCAAGGTTGGAGGTGCCTGACAGTGGGTGTGAAGTGTGAGTTGCAGAGGAGCTGGGCTCAGCCAGCACCCCTGGAGGTCATGACTCCAGTTCCCTGTGTCATGGCCAGGACCAAGTGCAATCTCAGATCCGGTTGCTCAGGGCTTTTGCACAGTTGCTCCAGCCCCACTCTATTGCACAACCTTCTCTGTTGTGAAAAGGTTTTTTCTTATGATCAGCTGAGCTGCCCTTGCTGCATTTCAGACTGTTCCTCTCATCCTTTTGCTGGGGTGAGCAGGGCTCTGGTGGCCTCTGGGGTGGGACACAGCAGCTGGAGCCCCTCTGCCCTCCTCAGATTGAACAAGCTCCCTCCTCTCCCACACTCCCAGCATGGCAGAGCCCCCTGTTCAGTGTGCTGGCAGCCTGCTGCAGCCCCCAGCTTTTTGGTCACTTGTACTGGTGGGGCTGGAAATCCAGTTGTGCTCTTCAGGTTTATAAACTTCTACCACCACTTCACGAGCTTCCTTCTTTGTTGTGTGTCTCCAGGAAGTCAGAAGTTTTGCTAGATACAGCTTGGGTTTGGATATGCCTTTTGATAATTCAGTGGTTGTTGTTTAGTAGAGGTAGCTAGTAGTTTACAAATATTGCAGTTAAATACAAGATGTGGGGAAATAAGCATGATTAGTTTGATGGACACTCTGAATTAAGCTCATGATGAGTGAACAGTCTTTAAAAAAATTAAATAGAAAATAACCAAATAAGCCAATGTCACTGGAGTGAAACACTTGCTTCCCAAGTCTCCTGTGCTGCAAACAATTGTTTTCAAAACACGAAGTACCAACTTGATCTAGAGGGGTTTTTTTCCCCCTAGGAAGCCTGAATTCCTGAGGCTGGGCTGGCTGTCAATAAGCTGTGTGCATAGGTTAGCTGGGGTAGTTAGGGATTCTTCTATTCCTACAAAATTTGTTGGTGCTAAACATTGCCACAAATGGCCATAGCAACTTACTCCCTGCTTCAGACAGGCTGGACTGCAGCAGAGTGCCAGGGATGTGTTTCCTTCATTCCAAATAAATGTTTTATCACTTAGCAGTAATTGGATTGCTATTGTATTTCAGTAATTATTGCCAACAGCAGATCTGTTCTTCTCTTTGCACTTATGTTTCCAGGTTGACCTTCAGGCAGCCTGTCTGAAGGTGACTTTCTTGATCTTATTCTGTAGGATGGGGGATTCGATTGTGGGGGTTTTTTTGGTTTTTGTTGTTTGCTTGCTGTTGTTTGTGTTGGGTTGTTGGTTTTTTTTTTCAAAAAGGGGAAGTGCTGCCAGGGGGAGCATAATTTGTCTTTGCTCCACTTGTCGTAGTGCAAAAGTATAAGCACTTCAGCTCGTGCTTCAGCTTTTAGCTGACCCTGGAGAGGCAGTTAGATGCACTGCTTTTTCAAAATGCATCATAACATTTCAGGCTGTGTAGAACCACACTTCTCTCAGTATCACAACCCAAATATCCTGCCAAGATTTCTCATATTTTGCGGAAATCTGTTCTGTATTTAACATGTCTGTAGACAAATGACTTCCTTAAGTATCTCAGAGCTGACCAAGGAATTCATACACTTGTCTGAATATCAGAGTCTGCCAAGGAAGTTCTGGAACACTGGATGGCAATTTTATGTGCAAGATTAATATTTGGTGATTAAATCTTAATGGATTTCTAGAGTAGCTAATATTTTTTCAAGAGGAGAAGCATTGCTGGATGGCCATAGTGAGGACTGCCTTGTGATAGCCTGCCTTCTGCACAAACTTGTTATGAGAGTCTTGTGTGTTCCACAGACCTTGCAAAAACCCCTCAGAGGATGGCTCCATCCTCTGAGCTTGGCTGGAGCTCTGAACTCTTGGTTGATTGCCTGCCTGACAGGTTGCATTTATTTCAAATGCATGGCATTCCACAGGCCAGAACTTGGCTGTTCTGGTGCCATTTGCTGTTAACTTTAGTCCTCATCCTGCTTTCTGAAAACAGTGGTTTCCTTATTGTCTAAAACATGTGTTTCAGGTATGATTAACCTGCTCCAGTTGTCTAGAGAACCCTATTTTGTAAGAACAAAAACATTTTACTCAGAATTGTACTTGCTTTCATGATGCTCACAGAGTTTTGTGAAGCATTTTACCATCAAGAGCAGCATGATGGCATTGAGCTGTGAGTAGTCTTCAGGTGTGTGCAACACTCATGATGATGTGGTGTAGCCCTGTTAAAGCATGTTTTCTGTGCAAGACTGCTTCTTTCTTTAGATTTGAGACTCCTTAGAAGGAATTAGCTGCACTGTAACACACAGGCCAGGCCAGTTGGGAATAGTCTGGGCGGCATCTGATGCTGTACCAGTTGTATTAGTAAAGACCTTCCTTTGAAAACAGTGAAGGTCTTTTGGTCTTGATTTGCTGTGAAGTTAAATGTTGTGGTTTCTTCCTGTATTGGCTTTGAAGTGGTCTCTGCTAGGAATCAGTGTGTGGATCTCAGTGTTCATCACCTCCCTCCCCACTGCACCATTGTCACCCTGCAGCTCAAGCTGCCTCTGTCAGGGATCTGCTTTGATCTGGGAGCTTGTAGCCCTGAATTTCTTCCTTCAGTGATGGAAGCATCTTTGTTGAACGGGTTCCTAGATTTATCTGTATGTAGTGGTGATCCCATCAGCAGGGATTTGGATGGTGTGATGGCTGAAGGAAGAAGGGGTATGTTACTGATCATGTGCCTAATCCAGCCAACTACCTAGGGCACCTGGGCACCCTATGAGGATGTAGTTTGACTAGCTGGTTGCTCTGAGTGGATCAGCAGCATTCTTCCTTGCATCAAACTGTTGGTTCTAAAGAATAATTTGGACAAATGAGAATAACGTCAATGTAGGTGTGCCAGAGCTCTGTGCTCTTGGCTCTTTCTTCTCCCATCAGTATGGGTGAATTCTTTGTTATGGAGAATGGAGCTTGGGAAGCTTATGAGATCGGCTTTTAAAAAGCAAAGTATTCATGTTTAGTGTGTTTTGACTCCTCTCTCTCTCTCTCTCTTTTTACCCTTGCCCATTTCTTATTACCCCAGGTTTCTCAAATGCAGTCTAGAATTGGATGGTTCATCTGTGTATCTGGTTTATTTGACTGAGTAATCCACTAAGAAAGTGTATTTGGAGGCATTAACTTACAAAAAGAAAACTAGGGCAATAAGCTTGAATACTTACTGTTTATAAAAAGAAAAAAAAAAAAGAAGCTTTGTAAACTCGTTAATCTTTTTTACCCAAGAAATGTACAGCTTGACTACTTCTACCCAAGGCAAGCTATGTGATATTTGTATGGTAGATGTGGCCTTTGAAAGCCTCCCTTTTGTAGTGTCCCCATTCATAAATATAAAAAAGAATTTCTGCTTTTAAAACAATGCTGTTTAGGTTTGGAACTTCACATATTTTGCAGTGCATGCAACCTGACAGGGATGAAAAAAACCACAACAACCTCTCTAGGTGGTAGCAGTTTAATTCTAGGATTCAGTGCATGAAGCTCAGTTTCCTGGTAGCAGACTTTGATGGACAGATTGCAGGTCTAGAGGCCAAGGCCTCCAGCATTGTAATCACTTGTGTGGTGGGTTTTAAGCTTCCCTTATCCAGTTTTCTCACTGTACAGGCAATTTTATATTTGAAAAGCTTTTGAAAAAAATAGTACTTTTAACAGTACTACATGATTTAGTGTGTGCTAAAGAAAATAAAATCACTTTAGAGTGTGATGTAAGGCAGCATAACCAAAAATATATATTTTTCTAAACAACTGGATTTTGTTTCTTTTTCATATTTGCAGGGAGGGATGAAACGATGCAGCCAGCCAAACCATCATTCCTGGAATATTTTGAACAGAAGGAGAAGGAGAATCAAATCAATAACTTTGGGAAGAATGTGTCTGGCCAGACAAAAAATTCATCTGAATGGAAAGTACCACAGGATGGAGACTATGAATTTGTAAGTCTATACTTTGAAATTCAATCAATGTGACAATCTTAAGGAGTTTCAGTCAGAGCTGCTATAAGATTATTTCTTGTTTTGACAGACTAATGGAAACTTGAGGAGATTCTAATTGCTAATGCATTTGGATGGGGCATTTTGAAAAACTTGTTTTCTTTAGATATTTCTGAGTAATCATAACCAGTCATTATCTAGATAGTTTGCATGTTTAAAAAGAAAGAAATGAACAGAAATAAGCCTGAGGACATGAAAGGGTAAGCTATCTTGCTTAATCTTCCCCATTATGAATCCCCTATTAAAATTTTAAAAATAGAATTCCAGATAGCAGCTGGGAAATGCAAATCCTGAATGTGTGGTGTTTGGAGAAAAAATGGTGTTATAAACTTTGAATCTTCTTGTCTTTCTCAAGCCTTGGCACTGGGTTTTGTTTTATTATATAAACATCGAGCTTGTCCTCATCTCTCTCTGAAATCCTCGATTTCAGTCTTCCTCACTAAGATTCACATGCTCAGAATTTTCAGGAACTTTTCTGGAGTTCAAAGGAAGTTCTGTTGTTGATAAATTTCCTGGTTCAGTTCTTTGGGTGAGGATGGAAAATGTCTGGTTTGAGTTCAGGGTGCCAGAAGATTCATGCTGTGCTGAACACTGTTCCCTCTACTACGTTTTCTTTCAGTGATGCACCAGAGGAAGCACTTGCTGTAGGTGCTTTGTGTGTCTTTTGGGACTGCCCATGGTTCAGGCAGTGATGCTGCCTTCAGCAGCTGGGGAGATTCCCTCCACCCTCACAAAGCAGTGTGGAAATTGAAATCCTTCTGCTAGTCACAAAGTGATGCTTTACTTTAAGGCTGGAATAATAGCTGGAGTCTGTCATTATGTTTGTTCAGGTTGTACAGACTGCTGCTGTTCCATGTGCTGTGTTGGTTTTGCTGCCTCATCTCAAATTTTCCTATTTAGACTGAAATGCCTGGCTAGCTGAGGGCACTGGCTGCATTCTCTCTCATAGCCCTGGGCATTGTTTAGCCTGAAGGTTTGTAGTCACTATATAAACATAATTGGAAAAATAACCTGCAAGCTGACTTGTCAGCCTGTGAATCCACAGGGTCTGGGCCAAATATAATTCCAGCAGAGTCAGACACTCTGTTTATCTCACCTTACATGCTGTAACTTCATTTAGTGACAAACAATTCTGGTGTTTCCCAGGAAAGATGGGCTGTTTGGAGTGTCTTAGAAGTCTTTTGTAATCCGCACAAGATGGTCCAAGGGGATACTTGCTGTAATTATTTTACTTTCTATTTTGGCTGATGATAAGTTTAGCAATTATCCTTATTTTCACTGGGTAGGATTTATTCCACCCTATCTACCATGAACCAGAGGTGTAGGCTACACCCAGCCAGCAGTACGGGCAGCACGGGTGACACAAGGAAAAGGTTGGTGTCATTCTAGCAAACAGGACCTACACCTATTTTTAGTGCAAAAGAACTGTTGAACACACATGTGACCTTGTTTTTACTGATTTCCACCAGCACTGAAATATTGTCAATGTGCACAGATTATCATCCTGCTGGAAGTAGTAAGAGCAAGCAATAAAAACTAACAAAAAATTGGGCTTTGGGTCACCTTTGTGTGATCATTTTGCTTCCCAGCGTATGTATTTCTGTAGTTCAACTGTGTATGAATAAACCAGCCTGTCTTGCATGCAGAATTTGTAACAGAGCTACTGTCTTTTCTGTAGGGTAAGACAAATGCTTGAAAGCAACCTTAATCAATAGATATGGGTATTTGTATAGGGCTGGTAGCAGTAACCTCAGGTTGTGTAATGTATTTAAAGACTTAAGATGGGGTATTTTTGCTGTTTGGCTAAAAATAGATACATTTGGCTACCTTTAAGTAAAAATTGTGTTTATTAATGCTTTATTAATAGAAAGCAGTGCTGCAATAAGCATTGTGAAATAAGAAAATATGCATTCACTAGTAGGTGTATCCAGTAATCTGTCCCAGACTTCCCTGCAGCTGTAACTTACTTCTGTGTGGTCAGAGTAGGCAGGTTTGAGCAGACTTTGCCTATGGATTCCAAGTAAAGATGAGATCAATGAGTTGTTGGATGAATACTAGTTTCTAGTGGACCCTAAGAAATTATTGAAATATTATTGCTTTGTGCTACTGCAGACTGGATAAATAGACCTTGTCTACTCTGTTGTATTCCTCTCCCTCCTATGTGACTAGCACCTGGAGGCTGCTGCCTTCCAAAAAAAAAAAAAAGGCAATATTAAATTACAAAAGATTTTTGCTCTTTTCCCCATAGCAAAACCATTTGACCTTTTCTTGACTAACATTGTTTCTCTGAAGCAGGCAAATAAGACACTATTTATATCACAGTGGCAATGTCATGTTAGATAAGGGTTAGATCGAATCAGCCCTGGCCACTGCAGAGATGAAAATGCAGAGATCCTGTTCTGCAGGGTGATGAATTCCATTCCTCCCACATGAGATGGACTTCATTCCTCCCACACATGATGCTCTGGTTGTGTCCTGGTTGGGCTTTGAGATGGCATAAACCCTGTGCATTTCCAGCAGTGTATTTCCAGCCTTGAATTTCTGAGGTAGAACTTGTTACTAACTGATTAGTCAGTGCCTAGTGTTGTTAATGTTTATCCCCACTTAAATTTGAACAAGGATCTCTGCAGATTTAAACTCTGCTTGATTACAAGAAAATGTTTTCAAGAATGTCATAATTGATTTAACAGGAGGGGGAAAATACTACTTATGGACAGCAATTCCTGCAACTAGGATGACTATGACAAGCTCTAGTATGAAGCTCCTGCAGGGGTGGGCTGTTGATGGGCAGGCTGCATTGTGTTGTAGAATTTCTAATTGCCATAATCAGATCTCAAAAATTTTGTAGTTGAATTTATTTGTGCCAGTGAACATCAGTCACATACTGTTACATAGACTTAAATTAATAATGCTAGAAGATTTGTTTAGACAACGTCATACTTCTTTTCACTTTAATCTTTCAGTAGGACTGTAACATAAGGCAAAATCAATTGTTGTGGTGTTTCCTGCCCTAAGAACACTTGGCTTATTCCTACTTTAAAAGCCTTTTAGGTGCTCTGAGCAGGCCAATATTCTAGTATCACTGGTGGCTAAAGTGGGATCACTTTTTTTTTTAGTTCTGGCCCTACTTGAAAGGCCTTTAGTCTTGCCCGACCTATTGTATAGGCTGTTTATGGATCATTCAGTCGTGAATGTTGTGTATTAGATCAGTAATCATTTTATTGAAAGTCAATTTTGTTGGCAAATTAGCAGCTTGCAGCCATTCATGCCCTGTGGTAGCTATGACAGTACTGACAGCTTTCCATTTTCATTTCACCCCTGTGGTTTGGGGAAGGTGAGCAGCAGTAGAGCCCCTGTCAACCTTCAGTTTTGCCATCATGATGCAAGTGCTGGTTTAATGTCACCTGTAGTGTTTAGCTGAGGTTTTGCTATAACTCCAATTCATAGTTTTTCATGCATCAGTGAATTTGTGCTAATTAAATGTCCTGGGGGCTTGGTTAGGACGTGAACTTTTAACAGACAGTAGAGCAGGACATCAAGTCTCTCTGCAGGCTTTACACAAGGGGTTGCAGCCATTTGCTCCAAGGCTCTTTTGATTCCAGCACTTGTATATCTGCCAGCCATCCCTGGCCTTTGCAAGGCAGCTTGCCAAGAGCTAAGTTGGTGCAGACACTTTTATGTTGTCTTTAGCTGCTTTTGCTATCTGTGTTTCACTGGAAGAACATCAGGTGATTGCTGAGGTCGTGAAGGAAAGCAGGACCTGCAGGACCTCAGTGAGCACTGCAGCCATCAGCAGTCATTTTCACCCTGGCAATCTCTGTCCTCCTGCTGCAGCTCTGGGAAGGACGCTGACACTCAGAAGCAAGGTTTGTGTCTCTCTCCTAAGAGGTATCTTGCTTCCTTTGGGAAGACCATGATTTGCTCACGTGTGCTAAGTCTTGGTGACCAGACCTTTCCTATTCCTACAGTTATTAACAGCCAGTAGGTCAGGTCTTTCCTTCTCACTCCTTGGTTTAATGAAGAGGATCTGGCTTTGCAGTTTTCTCATTGAAGCAGAAAAACTTTGGAGCAAGACTTTCTTTGCTTACGAAACTAAGATGAACAGTTGTCCTTGTAAGTGTCATGGTTTGCAGAAGCAGCAGACATAAACCTCTCAGCTGTCTGTGGAAGGACTGTGGCTGTTGTCATGGCCTTTGTTTGCAGGCTCACCACACTTGGGGCTGTGAGTGAACCTGTGTTTCAAGTCTCATGATTCCATGTTGTGAGTGCTGTTCTCTGCACCAGCTCATCTATTCAACTCCCTTTAAGAAGCATCTCACTGTCTGTTGATGAGAATTTCTTCAGACCTGAGAAGTTGGTGTGATTTCCCCCAGTCTCAAAACAGGCTGTATCATCTCTCAGTGCACAGTGACTCTTCCTCTACTGCTGGGGAAGACTGTCCTGCAGTCAGGACTGGTGCTTCTTAGATTTTATTTCAAGGCAGAAGAAGGAAAGATGAGCAGGAGGTGTTAATTGCTTCTAATTGAGGGGAAGAATGCAGTGCTGATCAGCTGCCACTTTTGTCAAGTGGCACAGTGAGAGCCCTCGTGTACAAGCAACACTTCCTGTCTCCTCTTCACCATCTGCTAGGCAGAGATGGGCAGAGAAGGGGCTTTGCTGAGCTACAAGAGCTGGAGAAAGGGCTGAGTTTGATCCCACAGCTGCAGGTCAGTTGCCATAACCTGGCTTTCCAGGACAGCCCTTTGCTTTGAAAGTGCTTGGGCCACAGCTTGCTGTTGATAGCCAACTTGTCCATGGATTGTGCTCCTATCATTCACTAATTTTAACAAATTGTTTTGGTTAGAATCTCTTGCTTCAGACACTGAGCCCTGCAAGGGGAGCCCTGGGATGGGAGGCTGTGGGAACTGGATGGTTCACCAAGCCAGTGAGACAAAGGAGTGAGC